TAACCCATAAAAAACATTTTCCTTAATCCTTAGTGGGACATTCCACGATAGATCGTGCCACTTTTTTCCAATTTGACACCCTCATCTCTCGGAATTTGACGAGAATTTGTCTCAGGGGTAATCAGGGGCTCTGAATCCACCTGTAGCTATTTCAAGCTTATCAGATAAGTATTTTTTGAGTTATGGTGTATAACATTTTTTGGATCTTGCTTTGCAGCGCTAAGTTTGGCGGGCTGTATCTCTAAGATGGATTATTTAAATGCCAAATGTTAGATAACATTAAACTTGCAATGAAACAGAGATTAATATGCATTTTTGAAATTTCGAAAAGTACGCTATTTTTGATATATGACATATTGAGTTTTCTTTCATTTGTATTTTTTGGACTTTGGGACCAATTTTTTTTTAGTTTTTATTTCTTAAAAAGAAAAATATTTGGCTCATTGTTAAAAAGTATGCAAAAAATAAGGAAGGTGTTCTTTCTATAAATGTATTCTAGGATTTCTTCTAGGATTTCTTCTAGGATTTCTTCTAGGATTTCTTTCTAGGATTTCTTCTCTTCATCGGCACACCCAACGATTTTAAAACACTGGTCACCCAAATGCCCTTTGATCTGTGGCCTACTTTCCGAGATCATGTTTGGCCGGAATCGCGATTTGGCGTACCTATATGTCGGCTCGCATTAGCGGCGCGTTTGCAAGCTTTTCGTGGTTTCAAACGTTCAGACATGTGATTTGATGTTGCTCCCATGAATTAGGGTGGATGTCAAGGTCACCTGAAGGTCAGGTCAGGTCATTGACATTTGGTGACCTCGGTTCCCTTTTTCGAGTTTTGCATGTTTCTAGGCTAGTTTTTGGAGCTGAATTCGAATTAAGCAATCATTTGAAGTTTTGGTGCCTTCGTAACATGTTACGAAGCTGTCACAGGCCTTTGACACGTAACTACCTACCTACTACGATTACCCGTCACGACCCCTACCGATTGACCTGACCTGACCTTACCTGACCTGGTCTAAATGCAAGACATCATCTGTGATCAGAATTAACAGGATATTCGTGATCAGCACCCCGAAAACCCCACTTAACAGCCACACTTTGCGACTTTCTAACAGGTTCCGATTTTCTCGACTTTTGGGTCATTGACCTGACCTGGAAGGTTAACCGATGACCTAGGGCCTTAACCCTCGCCGGCACAGGGGGGGGTTGATGCACCCCCCTAAGGTTTTTCGCGAATAACTCGCGTAAAAAGCGGCCGATCGCGACGAAACTTTCAGTACCCTCGCATTGATCAATTTTACACCTACCCTAAATATTTCAGGACCCTGACCCAAATGACCTTTGACCTGTGACCTCTTTTCCGAGACCATGTTTGGCCGCAATCGCGATTCGGCGTATGTCGGCTCGCATTAGCCGCGCGTTTGCAAGCTTTTCGTGGTTTCAAACGTTCAAACATGTGATTTGATGTTGCTCCCATGGATTAGGGTGGGTGTCAAGGTCACCTGAAGGTCAGGTCAGGTCATTGACCTTTGGTGACCTCGTTTCACTTTTTCGAGTTTTACATGTTTCTATGCTAGTTTTTGGAGCTGATTTCGAATTTAGCAACCATTTGAACATTTACGAAGTAGTTTTGGTGCCTTCGTAACATGTTACGAAGCTGCCAGAGGCGGATGACAGGTAGGTAGGTAGGGGAGAGTGGGGTAATTTGGTCGCTTTTTTTAGAAAACGATGTAACTAAAAATCGACAACACATTTCTGCATTTTCTCAACGCTGCCAGGTGTGGCATACATTTTACTTTCCTGGACAGTAAACTTGAAATGATAGAGTAACTACTTATATTGAAATTGTGACGTATTACAAAGGTCTGCAAAGCGGCCAAATTGCCCCACTAGCAGGGTTATTTGGCCGGGGGTGTGGGGCAATTTGGCCGGTGTTAGTTTCAGGCCATGATTTTTGTTATAGGCGAGTCAGCTTCACATTCAGCAATGACGCATGTCCTACGACGCATTTGAAGCATTTTGGAGGTTGACTCAGCCGTCACAGGGGTCGAAAATAGTCAAAATAGCGGCTCTAGATGCGATGACAGTTTTTTACGAATAGCTTTTGAAGTAATCAAGCTAGGCCAAAACTAAAAGTACCATTGTAATTCTCTCGTCATTCCGCATCGAAACATGTATGTGTTGACCTCGAGAGGTCAAGGTCAAAGGTTGGCTTCAGGTCACGTTACCTCAGGTCGCTTGACCTCAAGGTTACGTGAGTTCAAGGTCATCACGTATATCATTCGATGCGCCTTGACGAGCTGAACACAATGAGACCATTTGCGCGGCTGTATCTTTTTTCTGTAAGTATTTATTAGCAAAAAAGCGTTAGGTAACCTTTGATGACGTCACATGCCCTTACAGCTGTCCAATAGGAAATATGGCATCAAGGTAGTCAAAGTTGGTCATGAATTATGTCCTTTATGGTATAATTGACCATGACAACTGTGCCGTCCCAGCATAGTGACTCTGAGCGCACCGGCCAAGTTGCCCCGCTAGTCCCGGCCAAATAACCCCACATTGCCATTTTGAAAAATTTTGTCTATAAAGTCGTCATGGCTGTACAGAACTAGATGAAATTGCTCTTGGAACCGCTGAACACCCTCAAGAATGGCGCTATAATGTTGGAATTCGTTTACAGCCCAAATACTACATGTTATACAAATTTTTTAACGGAAGTAAAAGTTATCATTTTCTAACGAAATTCACGTTTTATTAATTTTGAATAAAACTAATAGGGGGAAAGTTTTGACATTTGTTCTGGAGTATGTTCTGACGATGACAAATGAATAGAGACAAAAGTTATTTCATTCACTTTTATCAGCTTTCGTACAGGTGGGGGCGGCCAATTTACACCACCGGCCAAATTACCCCACTCTCCCCTACTACGAATACCCGACACGACCCCTACCGGTTGACCTGACCTGACCTGACCAGACCTGGTCTACGCGCTTAACGACATCATCCGTGATCAAAACTATCACGATATTCGTGATCAGCGCCCCGGAAAACCCCTTAGCAGCCACACTTTACGACTTTCTAACAGGTCCCGATATTCCCGATTTTGTCATTGACCTGACCTGGAAGGTCAACCGATGACCTAGGACCTTAAAATTGGGTATCATTGGCTTCCTCTCGTGACGGGCAACACGCTCGTTTTTCCGCGAAGCTCTAGCTCCATCAGGGGCCAAACGCGAGGGGGGTCGTACCACCCCCCCCCCCCCTTGTGCCGTCGAAGGACTCAAAATGACCTGTGCCGGCGGGGGTTAAAATTGGGTATTATCGGCTTCCTCTCATAACGGGCAACACGATCGCTTTTTTCGCGAAGCTCTAGCTCGATCAGGGGCCAAACGCGAGGAGGGAGGGGTCGTACCCCCCCCCCCCCCCGCTCCCCCCCCTTGTGGCTGCCGTCGAAGGACGCAAATTGGCGTTGGCCTGTGCCGGCGAGGGTTAAAATCGGGTATCGACCGCTGTGTCTCGTAACAGCGCGCACGCTCGTTTTTTGCGAGGCTCTAGCCCAATAAGCAGTGAAACGGCGAGGGCCAGGTCGTATCCCCTCATTATTTAACCCGCGCCCCACTGGGGTCTGCGTATAACACGCCCTACTGGAGGGGGGGGGGGGGCTATTCATAGCCCCCCTCCTAACTCCGAAACTACTGGGCCGATCGTCAAAATTCAAACGGCGTCTGATAGCCCCGGAAAAACTGTCGAGCGAAACCTAATTTCATTGACCTCGAGGTCACCGATGACGTCACAGGTCAGGTCAAAGTAAAAATTATTAGCATTTTGGCTTGTTCACGTTTTGGGCTCTGGCCGCCGTCTTACAAGTCAGATCAGGCTCATTTTTGGTTCACACACTCGTGAACAGATGTTCTAGATACCCTGAGGGTACCAAACTTGTGCTTTGATTTTAAGGTCAAGGTCAGGTCATCACAGGTCACGAAAATATTATATCATGCCTCGGTCACGTGACACATGTTTTATGGTCCATTTAGGCCAAAGATTTCGAATTTGATGTCGTCTGTGTCATTCGAGGTCATTTTGAGTCGAATTTAGCTTAGGGTCAGGTCACTTTCAGGTCAAAAAAGGTCAAATTTTGAAGGTAAAATTTTTCAACAAAAAAGGTGTCTATTGGATGCAGTTTGAGCTCAGGAACACGATGGTGCTATTTATATTGGCGTACGATGTCAAATACGTGCTGAAAAAATTGATTTGAAAAATTAATAACTGTGAATTTTTTGCAATAATGCGTATAACTTGGTCATTTTTGAAGATATTTAGCTAAAACTTGCTAGAGTTAGTCATAATAACGCGTTCTATCACATATATTCCGGTTTTTTCGAAAAGTCAAAAACTTTTTGAAAAAAAATGTAAAAATGTAAATTTTGAATTTCATTATATGAAATTTTCAAAATTTTCAAAATTTCAAAAATCCGAGATAGCAGTTTGATAGCGCAGTCTATTCGGAGTCCTCTCATGCAAAGAAATTGGATCTAGCTCAAAAACTGAGCCCTTGGGAACGATTGCCGTGGTTCAATGTTTTGCGTCGAAATCGGCCGAACATGACGTCACTCTGACGTCATTTCCGGCCGACCTATGGTAGCTACGAAGTTCAAATTTTGACACAAGGTGTCAAATTGATGCAGCCGAAGGTACTGAAAGTTTGGCGTCGATACGTCAAGCGGTTTGGAAGTTATTGCAGAAAAACGGGAGGGGGGGCTATAAATAGCCCCCCCCCCCCCCAGTGGGGCGCGGGTTAATCAACCAAAAAGCATTTTAAACATAAAAGTTTTGAGCACTAGAGTCCACCCGCTCACAAAGTCAGAACCCTAGGGGTGTTCACGGGCACCGCACACTGCTGCGTGCGGTGTGTGCGGTGCGTCCAGCAGGCGTGGGGGTAGGGGATGGGTAGGCGGCTCTGACGTCACGGCTGCGTGCGGTGGACGGTCCGCTGTGGCCAGTCCCGACCGGCCACAGCGGTCGCTGTGTGCGGTGACGGGAGGCTGACGTAGGGACGCAGTGGGCGGAGCTTGGAGGCTGTGTGCGGTCCGACCGCACACAGGGCCCGTGAACAGCCCTCCTGGTTCTTTGATGACGTCATTTACAGTTTGAGGGAAATCTATTCCGAGTGTGAGAGTGAATATATTGAGACCTTGAAAACAGCTGATCTTTGGCGCGCATTGCAAATGCGAGCTGTTTGCGCGCGCGGGAGAGAGACGCGTCGCGGTCGAAAGGTCAGTTGGTTGAAAGGATTTTACCATTTTGAGTTACCTAGAAAATATAATGACAGAAGGTTTATGTGTTGAAATTAATGTGGTTTTCATTTGCAGTTATGATAACATGGCACTAACCTCAGTAGCATGATAATAATGAAAATTGACATGGAGAGGCCGGGGCGCATCCTCACCATAGTCATCGGTCATCAGTCATCGATGGTGCTTTGCATTTTTGCCTGAGAACCACTTATTTCTAGTTACCTTATTCTAGTTGATATTTCTCAATGATAAAAGTGTGGTTTGTGTATATTTCATGCCTACTATTGTCTATTTGGACAGAAGACAGCAATTGGGCAGGCTTGTAAACACATGTTATAGTGCCTTCATTTTTTTAAGTTTCCAATGAGTATAACATTATATACCCCTTCCAGGATTGGTGATATTCCTCTAAATTCTGAAGTCGCCTTCCTCTCTGGTACCACTGGATTTGCCTAGTAGGTTAAGGCTGACCCCAAGGAAATAGGTATAGGTGGCCGCGTGGCGTCATGAGAAATTACATGCAGGCTGGCTGATGTTACGGTGTAAACACTTGCAGGAGTTGAAATTTGAAAGAGGATTTATGAAATAATACTTGACATAAATACTATTTTTCATTGAAGTGTTCCAGAATCTTATGAAAGAAGCCCAAAACCATGATAACTTATTCAAGAGGCTTCCTCAGAACATGTGCACTATTCACACGATAATGTCACCAAACCAGAACATGTTACAGGTATTATAGGGACTGCGAACTGGTCTGACCGACTGATTGCCTTATTTGAATTGGTCAGTGCATGGCCCAAGGGATGGGTATCATGTTTAAATCAACTTGGCTTAGTAGCTTAGGATCATTAAAGATACCTTGCATATTGAAAAATGGACTACCAACATAGCTAGAGAAAAGTCAAACAAAATATTGTTTAAGTTTCAAAACAAGACCATAAATTCAAACACTGATTAGGCACATGTAAGTTATTAGATGTGTATATAGGTGCATATCAATCAAAAGTTATTTAAGCATGGTCTAAAGTTTTCAGCTTAATAAAGGTTAAATGAAAAGCTGCATTTTTTTGCACTCCTTATGAGTTACGATCATGTGTGATCAACAAGAATGATTGCTGGTGTCATTTTTATTAACTAAATTACCCATAGGTTTAGGCTTGGTAGGTATTTGGTTTAGGAAGACCATAACATATTTTGATCCCACTTGGCCAAGGGAAGTAGTATCATGACCCTTCGCTATTGTTTTTATGCTTTTCAATTCCAAAACATGTTAGGGAGCAGCTTGGTATCATGTGTGAATATGTGGGAAATCATTCAGTTTTTCACCATGAGGGAAAAGGGTAGGTAACTATTTGCTAGTATGTGTTGTGAGGTATGACCAATCCCAATTTTACACTGTTGAACATGACAGGGCTTACAGAGCTTCACAGATCAGCATATGGAAGTTGTATGATTTATCTCATCTCAGTTTCCCATTGTGTCCCCACTCCCCAGTGTGTTGAAGAATGGTTTCTCATAACAACAATGATAAATTGTACCTCCAGTGAAAGTTGTGGCCATAACTTTAATTGAACTTTATGTAAACCAATACTAACATTTACCTGTAACTGTTACCTGTTAGTTAGTTTTACTATTTTTAGAGCCTGCATATTAAACATTTTGATGTGAATAACTGCTTTTGACATTTGACCAGAAACTGTCACGCTATTGTTTGGCATTGACTGGTAACTATTAATTAATTCCTTTGATGCACCTGTCTATGTTTAGTATGGCAAATGATGCAGGGTAAATTGTTCCATAAATAGGTCCATCAGATGTTGTCTCACTCAGAGCTTGAAGCTGTCATGGAAGATTGATATTAAGACATCTTCAACAGTTTACCCATCACTTCTTCGTTTCAGGACAACCTGAGATTGCTCACTTGCTCACAAACTCCTTGAACAATATGAACACATCAGATGCGGGCAGGTATGTCCATATGCTTTTTATTTTTATTTTATCCATGCTCATATGTATCCTTTTTAAAAAGAATATCAGGAAGCTTTTGTATGAGGAGGCTAGGTGTCTAATAACACTGGCATTCAGAAAGAGTGCTCCAGATAGTTTGCAATCACCCTTTTCAATTGGAAAATCGCCGGCTGTGATTTTTTTTTGCATGAAAGCACCCTATAATTTCGCCAGCCACGCGAAAATAACTGCTGATGCGAAAACATGGGCTTTTTGGCATAGTCTGTGTAACATGCAGAGGGCTTGAAGAAATAAAGGTATTGGCAGCCGGCGATTTTTATCTCTGTTAAACTGGCCTCAGAGCTCGAAATCAACGATGGAATTAAGTTTTACACTGCAGACCGTCTGACCATCTTGTGTATGTGTGTCTGGGTCTGGTTGTTTCTGTGGGTCGGACCGGCTGTCTGCTGTATCTGGCTGTTGATCTGACCGCCTGTCTGTCTAGGGGTGTTGCCGACTGTCTGTGTGTATGTGTGTCTGACCGCCTCCCACCGGCCCGGTCCGCCGCCCAGCTGCGCGGACGGCTCGGTCAGCCGAAAGCGTCGCTCAGCCAGCAGCCACTCGTGCGGCCGGTGGCGCGTCGACACCGAGTCGCTGACGGAGGACATTCTGGACGACGTCGGCCTGTCTCTGATGGACGACAGCAGCGGCTTACCGACTCCGCCGGACAGCCAGAACGGCGCCACGCCAGCCCTGGTAAGGAAACCGATACAGGCTTACAGATACAGCTGCCGACGCCGCCGGACAGCCAGAACGGCGCCACGCCAGCCCTGGTAAGGAAACGTACGGGTTTACAGGGACAGATACAGGCCTACCGACGCCCCCGGACAGCCAGAACGGCGCCACACCAGCCCTGGTAAGGAAACGTACGGGTTTACAGGGACAGATACAGGCCTACCGACTCCGCCGGACAGCCAGAACGGCGAACGGCGCCACGCCAGCCCTGGTAAGGAAATAGATAGGTACAAACTTACACATGCAGCTACAGGCCGGTCGACTCCGCCGGACAGCCGGAACGGCGCCACGCCAGCCCTGGTAAGGAAATACATAGATGGGTAGGTACAAACTAGATGGGTACAAACTTACACATGCAGCTACAGGCCGGTCGACTCCACCGGACAGCCAGAACGGCGCCACGCCAGCCCTGGTAGGGCAATAGATAGGTACAAACAGGGCACGTACAAACAGGTACAAACTTACTCATGCAGCTACAGGCCGGTCGACTCGGCCGGACAGCCAGAACGGCGCCACGCCAGCCCTGGTAAGGAAATAGATAGGTACAAACTTACACATGCAGCTACAGGCCGGTCGACTCCGCCGGACAGCCGGAACGGCGCCACGCCAGCCCTGGTAAGGAAATACATAGATAGGTAGGTACAAACTAGATAGGTACAAACTTACACATGCAGCTACAGGCCGGTCGACTCCACCGGACAGCCAGAACGGCGCCACGCTAGCCCTGGTAGGGCAATAGATAGGTACAAACAGGGCACGTACAAACAGGTACAAACTTACTACAGGCCGGTCGACTCCGCAGGACAGCCAGAACGGCGCCAACCCGCCCTGGTAATTATCAAATCGCAGCCATCACAGTGTGACCTCGCAACGTGACCACTGTACCTACCGCAACATAGCTAAACCACCACCGCACCGCAACTATTGCGCCGTAATCATACCGCCATAACTGGCTGAAAACCACCGCACCTGCTGTTGCTGTTGTCCTATAGCGAGTGGCTCCTGTTCTGAGAGTTGCTGTTTCTGTTGCGTGTACCGACAGAAGCCGGCCGCCGCCCCGGGTCCAGCCGTCGACCCCTACTCGGTGATGGATGACGGCTATGTCCCAGAGGGGTTCCTCGTCTACAAACGGCGCCGCACCGGATCGTTCCGTCTTCACGGTATGAACTAGGGCTATGTAATGTATGAAGTTATGTGTCAATCATAGCTCCCAGCCATGATTAAACTTCAATCGCTTTTTGTGGCACACCATCAATAGTTTTATTATATTCTTAGCATTGATTCGTTCATAATATGTGGCCATGTGCCTTGGCTCCCTGTAACCTGGCTGCTCCGTGGTCCATTTGAACTGAACTTGTACGCTATTAAATGTTTTTGTTGTGTGCGCAGTGTGTCAGTTTAGGACCATGCTCGCAGGCTTACAATATTCTCCGACTCGCATTTAGCACCGCTACTTAGGATATGGAGCGTTTTGTATAATTTATTAGTAATCTCATTAATTGTCTGGCGCGGTCTCCGAGACACCTCCCGTTGCCACTTATGTATTTTCAGTGGTGCCAGGTGGAAGTTCGTTGCCACCCTTCCCAGCCGAGTGTGGCCACGGCCTATGCTACCTATAAATGCACCATGACACGGTAAGGTCAGTGTGCCAGAGACCCGCATCACCTTGACCCAATGTCCTCGGTGCGGCAGACCCGTTCTGTCGGCAGTCGGACGAGATCATCCTGAAGATATTCGGCTTCCTGTCCAAGTCGATGCTGGTGCGGTGCGCGCGAGTGTGTCGCCGGTGGCGCCAGCTGGCGTTCGACGAGACGCTGTGGCGACGGATGGACGCCGCCGGACGGACGATACCGGCCGGCGGACTGGGCCGGCTCGTGCAGCGCGGAGTGCGCCTGCTGCGGCTCACCAGGGCGGAGGTACGGCGCGGCATTGTGTAGCAGAAGGTGGCATTGCACTGAATAGGAATGGAATGCTGGGCTTACAATGAATATCTATAAGTATATCCCTTATTTGATAAAGGTAGATCTAAGATATTTTGAGTGGACGGATGAACTTTGAGACGGCGCTATTGAGAGCATAGCTTATTGCGCAGATACTGATCAATGCCGTCCAATTGGAAAATTCCGAGAATGGATAGATGTTAAGATCCCATATGGCTGCCCAATATCCGTGCCTCTAACTTCCATTGATACCGACTGCTTTCACCAGCCGCGCTGTGCCCCTTTCAGCACCGGAGCAACCCGAGCTCTCGCCGGGAGACGGGATTCATTCCACCGAGTGAGCCGATTGACTGACGCGGATTGATGCACCTTTCGCTGTGCGCTTAAAGGCTGAAGGCTGTCCTTTTCTCATACATGTGTTTCTCGTCGGCTAGCTAACTGCGGCATCTGTTACAGGTATCGGCGCCGATATTTGCAGCAGACACGTCTCCTGGTTTCTCTGCCAAGCTCATGTTTCTGGATCTCAGTATGGCTGTTGTACCATCCGAAGGTAAGTCTACCATCTGCCCTCATCTATCGTCACCTCTCATGGTATACGCCAACTGGCATTTGATGGCCAATGAGAAACGTTAGTGTGAACGTCACTCATGAGCGTCGATTGCGCGCTCCTTGTTGTTTGAACTCCACAAAACCATTGATAGCAACTTTACAACGAAAAAAAATAATCGCCCATCTTCAAAGTGACGAAATTGCTGCAGGTTGCGAGCTAACTATGACCGCTGAAATATATGCATCCATGGTGACTGAAGATCATCACAGGATGCTAGGCGATGCTAGGGCAGCGTGAATATTTGTAAGTGCTCTTATGTATTTAGCACGTGACAGTGACTGCTTGCTCTGTGATTGATTTGAAATAACTTCGATAAAAGCGAGGCGATAAAAGATACAAATCAATTTCAAATGTGATATAAGATACTTGAAGCGAGAAGCAACTGCGTGATCTTCATTTGATAAGTGTAATCCATACGTTTGGTGGCCTGTTAGGAAAGTTGAACCGTTATTGTTACGTCGTGGTTTTTCCTCAGATGTTCTGACAGCAGTGTTAAAAAAGAAATGTTTTGCAAAAACTTGATCATACCGTTGCACGTATACTTCCTTGTTCATGCCACATTGGCTTCGCTGAAAAATCGAGTACCCAATCCAGGCGCATCTGAAATTCTTCCTGAAACGAGGGAATTCATTAAAAAATTGGAGCAGGCTACCTCCGTACAGGACATAAAAAAGTTGCAAGAAGAGGATGATACATTTGCAGTTCATGACTTCGGCGAAAGCTTACCGCAGGAGAAAACCCAACCGAAGAAAGCGGCGCAACAATCATGCCAGCCACCATCCAAAGATGCGGGATCATCCTCGACTGATGCAAATAACGATGTGCTAAAGGATGACAAATCAACATCGGGTGGAGCATCTGATGTGGCTTCAAATGAACCTTCCCCTGAACCGGACGGCGGTAATGGCGCTGAGAAAGCTGCCGTGCCGCAGGAAGCAGTCGTGTCAGATGCCGACCTGACCGAGACGGACGATGGCAGTAGCGATGAGGCTGACGAGACCCTGGAGCTGATTGATTTCGGCAAATCCAGCGATGTGGCCGAGCGAGCTGGGTCCGCCGGCTACGATCAGGTGCGCGTGGACCGCAGCTCGCTGGCCTCGTCCGTCGAACGCCAGCTGCAGGAGCCGACCACCGAGCGGCCGGCCCCGTCAGACACCAAGGGAGGCAAACAGAAACGGAAGAAGAAGAAGTACACCGAGCCGCCGGCGCCGACCGCCGAGGAGCTGGAGGCCACCTACAAGTACGAGGTGCTGGCGCCACCCGACAACAGTCCCGTCAAACTGGACTTCCCGGCCAGTCCGCAGTCGCAGGGCGAGGAGCACCTGTCGAAGCACGTGCCGCTGACACTTTATTGTGACACGTGCATGGCCATCGCCTACCAGGTGCACTTGTCGTTCGCCAAGTTCCACAGCCATGTGACACGCCGGCTGCCGACCGAGAGCGAGATCTACCACCTAGTGTCTGAGGCGTGTGAGCATCAGCGGTTCCGCGAGTACGGCATGCTGGAGGTGCACGGCCACCGGCACATCAGCGGGCCCGGCTGTAACCAGCTGGAGGCCGAGGGCGGCGTCAAACACTCGCGCGGACCCTGGCCCAGACGGCTGGCCGACCGGTGTGAGGAGGTAACCGAAGACATTGGCGAAATCAACATGCACAACGCCTGGCTGGACGAGCAGCGGGACCCGGAACGTTTCAAGATGTACATGTGTTTCGGCGATCCGCCGCGTAACTACTGTCAGAAGTATGGACATATGGACGCTGCTGCGGAGGCGGCTGCACGCGAGCGCAGCCGGAAGCCGGAGGACACGGAGACGCCGATCGAGACGGCCAACCGACTGGCGCGCGAGGCCGAGGAGGCAGAGAAGAAGCGACTGGCCGAGCTGGACGACAGCGAGCAGAAGGACGAGCTCTGAGCTCTCAGCTCCGTGGCAGTTATGTACGACTATCGCTGTATCATGAACGAGGCGCGACACTTGAGTGGACGGTATTTTATCGTTCAGCCGAGTGCAGCAAGTCTAGCTTCGAACATGCATCAGGCAGGAATATCAGTATTTGTTTTTAGGACTTTGTAGGATAGCGAGAAGTGTTATTGAACACGGCGAGGCAATGTCGGGCTGGGATTTGAGAAACTCTGCGTGTTTGTCGATGGTATAACACGAGTGAATTTCCAGTTATGTCCCACGAATAATAATCCCTGCTTTTCCGGGATGAGGATATCGGGTTTAGCGCGGAGGAAAGACTTATTTTGTTGCTTCGCTGCCTGTCTTATAGCTTCCAGCTGTTTCGGTGCAAAGTGAAAAGGATTAGACATATGCGGCATCCCACTTTGAAGCTGACGTCGGTAAATATAATATAATCTACCGGATCTATTTTTTTTTGTTTTTTATGCTTCTTTTCGTGACATTTCCGTCCGTTCCGAGAACACTCGTGCTTCTAGAAGATGGCCCATAATTATTTGCTTGTGTCCTTTTTTGAATGTCAATTCATCCGCAATAGTTTCCAAATTTGAACATCTCCGATTATTTTCATTCCTTCAAATAAACCTTCACAAGTCTTTGCATGGATTGTCTACACTCTAGGCCCTATAGCTTGAATGAGAGTCAATGATCCTCACGTATTGAGTTACGGGTGAAGTGAAGTGTCTTATTGTCGTTTACACTCACCGCACCGTCAATAAAAATAGTTTGTCTGACAGTTTATCTTACAGCTAATCGAAAACAAGGGTAAATTTTACCTCTACGTACACATCTACACCTACACTCAAACGTATAGGTAGCAGCTGCATGTGTGCTGAATGTGCATGTTATTTGATTTGGTCAGTTTTCAGTACTTCCCTCAAGTTTAGCAACTTCACTAACTTTCATTGCTAACTTCAGTATTCACTTTGATTTGGCTGGAATTGGAACTAACTTTTGGAGTATTGGGTTAAAGCCTTTAGATGTGAACATCTCCCTGAGGAAAAGTTGAAATCTGCGTTTGGGAATTGGAAGAGAACACTATGCAATGCACTCACCGTGAGGCGAAAATTTCAGACTGTTTGCTTGCATTTTAACATATCATGTGCGAACTGCGCACATTCGCCTAGGTTCGCCGAACATTCGAACATTCGCCGGCACAGCTGAGTTGGCTGTGCCCGTCGTCAGTCTAACCAAAGTGTCCGCAGCTGGTGCCGCCTTGCTGAGCTGTGTCGTCTCACGTCTGTGTCTCGCCGTTCCGCCAGGCATCGAGCAGCTGCTGGCTGCCTGCCGCTCCCTGCAGAAGCTCAGCCTGGAGCGCTGTGACGTCACAGACCGGGCGTGCGCCGCGATCGGCGCCAACCGGGGCCTGACGGCGCTCAACCTGGCGCTGGCCACGGGACTGACAGATGTCGGCCTGGGCAGCATCCTGGCCAACTGTACTAGGTGAGTCACACTTAGAGACATGACCTCCCGGGCCCTACCATCCATTTCCTTGACATCGCGAAGCGCTATCGAGCCTTTTCGTATAACGGGCGCTCTACACGGCTGGCTTACAGCGACTCTTAACGAGCTGCTTCCGTTCGACAGGTCACAGCAGGGCTGAGACGCCATCCGATTATCGGCTTTTTCAGATACTTGAGGCTGTTTGAACAGAATCTGACGAATACCGCTCGACAACCTGCACCGTGCAAGTTGTCCTGACAGAATCCCTGCTGACGGCTTTTGTCTTCCGTGCCCATGCAAATTTTCAGAACCGAACGTGCTGCCGGATCCTGTTTTACCTATGCAGGTTGTCTGAATTATTGACTCCCTTCTGACGGACCCGTTGTTTTAATGCAAGTTGTCATGAATCCCAGCTGATGCACCTGTGTTTTCGCAGGTTGTCTGAACTGAATCTCGGCTGGACGGATCTGAGCGGAGCCGCGCTCAGCAAGCTGGCCGCCACTGCACCCCTATCACTCACCAAACTCAACCTCACCGGCTGCAAAGACGAGCTCACCGACGCACGTACGTACACCAGCCTCTCTTGTAGAACATACAGTCTATGAATCTGCATTCGCTGCTCTCCGTCGAAGTGTACGTCGGTATACATTACTGTGTTTGTCGGCTTAAGCCGCCATGTCCGCTGGTATTCGCTGTCCGCCGCATTTTGACCCACTGACTGTTCGCTACATGTATCCAGCAGCTTCTGCGGCGAATCGGTAGCCGTCTGCTCGTCGGGGTAACCCCTGCGAATCTGCCCACCTGATATGACTATCGGCTGCAGATCTAGCCACTAGTCAGCAGTCACTGATGTGTTCAGTTCCATCCCGTCTAACCGCGGGCGATCTACCTATCTGACCACTGACTGCTCGTCACATGCGCACAACTTCTGCGGTGAATTGGCTTCTGTCTGTGTTTAGTGCCCTACCTAACCAGTTAACCACTGACTGCTCGTCACAGACGTACAGCAGCTTCTGCGGCGGATCGGTAGCCGACTGCGCGTGCTGGATCTCAGTGACGCCACCGCCATCGGTGCCGGCTCGTTCGACGCTATGATGGAGCACCTTCCGGCCGTGGAGAGTCTGGGTCTGAGTCGCTGCTACAACATCCCGGCTGTCAACTGCGTGTGAGTGCACCCGTAATCAAGAGGGAAATTGGCCAGGGTAGGAGGCTATGATGTTGCCTGCCGGCGGCACAATCATCCTAAACAATCCAAGTGTGTACAACACTTCTGCAGTTGTTGGGCAACGTGCGTTTGGGGACGTGAGAACGTCTATGTGTGTGCGTGTGTGGCTGGCTGCCCCTGTCCAGCATCTGTCCAGCTACGGTGACCTCTAAGTCCCTACACGCCCGACCCTCCTCGGGCTCTGTGGCGCCATTATCTGACTGCGTCCTCTCCCCCGCAGCCAACTGGGCCGGCTACAGACGCTGCGCACCATGGAGATGTACAACTGTTTCAACGAATCGGGCGTGGAGACGCTGCGCCGCGCGCTGCCACAACTCCAGATCAACACGCGGCCGTTCAGTGAGGTGGCGCGTCCCACGGTCGGCATACGACGCACATCCATCTGGGAACGGTCCGTGCGAGACTGAGCGGTCCGTGGAGGGCTGGAAGATTACACCTGCGCCACGAGTCATCGTTTACCGGACCAGCGAGGCCGATCCCTGGCGTGGGTCGTCTACAGGGTTGAGTTCGGATCGGCAGCCAGCAGGAGGCATGGAAAGGGGGAGCAGCTTTAGCGGGACCGGAGAGACCGGTTGCAGCAAGATGGTGGACAGGGAGACTAGCAGCAGCAGGTTTGGAGCTAGATGGGCACCAGCAGGACGTATAAAGAGGGGGATCGGCTGCAATTATGATAATGAACAGAAGCTGCAGGCGAGAGGTGTGGAGAAGGGGAGGCCAACTACAGCGGATATGGAGCGGAAGAATATGTGAAAGACGTGACTGGCAGGTCGGTCGTCTCATCCCTCCATCCAATGATTGTTCAGGACAGAACAGGGCTCATATTTTCGAATGAGAGTGCATGTAATGGTAATAGGACAATTTGTACAGGAGTTTATCTGGCTGGCTCAGTGTTGCCCTCTGAGAGTTAGGTGCGTGGTATGCATGTCTGCGGTGCCTTACGGCACACATTCCTACTGGGAGAACGTTTGACATTTTCAGCGGATTGTGTGTGGACGGGCGCGCCAGTGCCCGGTGTGTGCAATGCACTTTGGATCATCATTTCACGAGCGGGTTCTCTCCGGGGTTCGCATGGGCGTGTCTTTGACGTGGTCTACATGTTTTACCTGTGACCACGATGGGTTTCTTTCGTTTGAGGGTGTGTCACGTTCCTTTCCGTTCTTTGTTCGTATTGTGTTTTCTATTGGTCTTGTACTTGCCAAGCTGGACTGAACCGATTGCGCCCGGTTGTGGGGTGTCGGTAAAGTTCCGCTGTGATACCGGTCCCGGCGGCGGGTCCGGTGTACCTACTGTGATGTAATGTATCCGGGGCCCCGGCTGTGCACGGAGCCGTCCGACCAGCCGCCGTCCTCTGCCCAGACGTGTAATACACGGATGGAAGTAATAGTGTGTGTTACTGCCACGGCTGGCAACAGTCACTGCGTGTTCTTATCTGACTTCTAAGTTACGTTATCAGCGGGTTTTTAAACGGTTTGCTCTGAGAAGACCAGAGGTCAAGTTATACTTTTGGTTTGCTACCTAAGACGCTTCGTGCTCTCACCAAAACAAGCTGTTAAATGAGCGGCAGGGGCCTGCCGCGTCACATATTTATCATCAGCTAACGTCGATATCTCACTGAAATTGCATATGCCACATTTACCTCCACGCAACGCACGGCTTTGTAAGAGTAAACCACAAAAATACCCAGTCAAATAAGACTCGTTCAAAACACCCACGCCCCGCACCGGTGCTACGATCCGCCCTGACCATAGATCACCTTGCCCCTAATCTTTTTGGGGTTGAGTCCAAACGCTTCCAAGCGTGCATCTGACATGGAGAGCACCATGGCAGCCTGGGAGCCGGCCTCGGCCTGGGCCGCGCGTCGTCGTTTGCCCCCGGCTGCGTGCCGCCGCTTCTTGGGAGCGGGCCCCTCCGAGGTACCGGCCGGCTCGTCCGAGCGAGTCTTCCCCGGCCGCTGCTCAGCGGCGTCATCCACTGTCTCCTCGTGGTGCTTCCGCTTCTTTTTCTTCTTCTTTCCTCCCTCAGGTGGGTTCTCTGACGCTGCTTGTTCACCATTGACGGCGGAGTGATCCAATGTGCCGTTCTCGTTTGTTGTTTCTTCGACGGCAGTCAGTTTTTCTTTCCGCTTCTTCTTCTTTTTCTTCTTCCCCTGCTCCTGCGGTTCCGACTCGGTAGCGTCCGGCGCCGTTTCGACACCGTTCTCCAGTGGAGCTACCCAGAGTCCCTCCTCCTCTTCATCCCCGCCCTCCCCGTGAGTACCGCCGTTCTGCTCCTCCGCCTCCCTCTCCTTCTCCTTCCTCTTCCGCTTCTTCTTTTTCTTCTTCTGTGGTTCATACTTCTCCGGATCTTCCTCTGGCTCGCCTTCCCTGTTGAAACAAAACGGGGACGGAGGTAGTCAGTGGAGAAAGGACGCCCTAACGGGGAAAGGGAAGACTGACGGGACACGGAAACACCTAGGGCACGATTACGAGTCGAGCCGACAGGACGTGTACGGGACCGCCCGGAAAGACGCACTCGCCTAACTGAACTGGTGAGAGACGGGCACTGGTTCGGGTCAAACGAGACGGGTACAGACGCGGTGCAGACTGTCCACACTCAAAACTTAGCACCTGTTGAGGCGTGCAAGGTCGCCTCTTTCAGTCAGCCATATCACGACGTCTGGGGCAGATAACAAAGGTTTCACCAGCTAGTCGGTCACGACGGCTGACAGTCAAACATCCACCTTTCAGTTACTGCCAAAGTGTCTAGTGCATAAGTGAAATTGACTCACTTTTTATAGAGGCTCTGCAGTATCTTCTGCTTGTAGAATGCGTTGGAGGCTTTGGCTTTGTACTTTTTGACGTCATGCTGCTCTTCCTCGGGTCGCAGGTACTGAGACATCCGTTTCACCGACACCCATCGGTTCAGGTCCCGCTCATCGGCCATCAGGATCTGTCAACAGAAGCGCCGGGCTGAACACGCTGCACTAGTACAGTTAGACTGGATTAGAGTTGATTAGACTGGCCTCGTCTGGCCCAACCCGGCCGGCAGTATTCGGCAGTGATAACACAATGGAAACATGGCATAGCACAATCCTACTCCAAGACATCCAACCCGATGCGTTTTGACCGTGGTCTGCCCAAAAGTCGTCGTGGTCGCCATCTCCCGCACTGAACTCACCTCAGTCGTATCCAGGCCAAAGTCGTTGGCCGGCACCTCGCGGTACTTGAACGGGTGCGGGTTAGCCTGCGCGTCCAGCTGGTAGTACTGGTCCACGTACTCCGCCAGCCGCTGGCCGGCCGCCGGCTCGAAGCGCGGCTTTTTCCGCCTGAGCAGCTCGGCGAGCCGGCCGCGTCTCTTCTTCCGGCCGCGGCCGGTGGTGAGCTCGGCCGGCGGCCGGCGCACCGCCGACGGCGTGTAGTCGCAGTCCATCTGAGTGGCGAGTCATACCGGGTCAGCACAGGTCATGCGGGTCAGCACAGGTTACATGCGGGTCAGCACAGGTCAAACGGGTCAACACAGGCCATACAGGACCAAAACAGGTAAAACTGGGTGAAAAAGGTCCAGACACAAACGGCCAGTTTGCTGTGGTCATATTGTTCTCATAATGCGCGACACTTCGAATCGGTCCTGTTTCGAATGACATAGGGGGCGTGAAAATAGTAGTTCAGTTAGGGGATCGAACTTTTCAATTATCTGAGGTAGTCCTGCAATATCCCCTAACGACATATGTTACTGCGCCAGATTGAATTCGAAGTAGCTGGGGCGACAGTTGCTGCATATATCGTTCCGCGATGTTGCCAAGTGATGAAACTCACCACAAAGTCTGGCTGCTCGCAGGCGGGAGTGTGGTCGCTCTGGCTGTGGCCGGGCTCGGCCCACTGTCCGCTCTCCTCCTCCTCTCCTTCCACAGCGTCTTCCTCCCCCGGCGCCCAGTTGTCCCAGTCCTCTGCCGGCACAGAGGGCGCTCGTGTCACCAGCGGGACAAATGGCCCGAGGCGGGCGGGGAGAAACCGTGGCTGCGACCATACCAGACTGGTTTTTGATTCACCTTTTTTGGATCGATTCAATCATTGATTCATTTGATTTTTGTTTGATTCAATCACCGTTTGATTCCTTCAAAAAAATTGGTGAATCGATTCCTTTTGATTCAGAGAATAAAAAAAAAACAATAAAAGGAATGATTGACGTTTGATTGAGCCAAAATTTTTTTGAATGATTCTTTTTGATTCAATTAAAAAATAAAATATACAAAATATCAGGGATAGTATTGTATTTGTTGTGTCCTTTTTGTTGTCATGTAATGGCAGAAGTGTTAATATTTGTTGATAATGAACTATGTTCGTTCACTTCAATTTTTTTTTAAGTTCATGAATCATTAATTTTTTTGATTCAATCAACCCTGATTCCCAATGCGTTTGATTCAATCATGGCTTGTGAATCAAACAATGCTGACGGTGAATCAAACCTTTTTGATTCAACAAATTTTGTTTGATTCAATCCAATCGATTCAATCACAGATGAATCAAACACCAGTCTGGACCATACACTTCGACAAAACGCCTGTGGATCTCAATAGTATTTTGTTCATTGGTAAATGTTGCACTTCGCTTGCTGAGGTTTAACCCGCGCCCTGGTAGGGTCTGTTTATAACGCGACCTGGTAGGGGGGGGCTATTTTTTGCCCCCTCGTATCTCCGAAACTACTAGACGGATCCGCAAAATTCAAACGGCGTTCGAAAGGCCTGTCTAATTTGTCGAAGGAAACCAAATTTCATTGACCTCGGGGTCACCGATGACGTCACAGGTCAGGTCAAAGATGAAATGTTTCACCGTTCACGGGTCTTCTAGGGAATACGCTATAACACCGAGGAAAACGCATTTTGTCGAGAATCAGCCATAGGGCGTCAGTTGCCTAGTAGATATGTTGCTATTAGAGGTCACTGACAATACCATGTCAGGTCACAGGTCAGGTCACCAAGGGTCACAGGTCATGTCACATGAGCCCAACTTTACTAAGGTTGTGTGATGCATGTTTTATGGCCAATTTTTCATTTCCAACTCAATGGTGTTGGTTATAAGACTGTCAGGTACGGCTTAGGTCACTTTCTGGTGAAGTGCAGGTCAAGGTCAGGTCAAGGTCAGGCCAAAAAAGGTCAAATTTTAAAGTTGATAGTTTGGCATAAAATGGGTATTGATTCGATGCGGCTCGTCACGGGGAGTCTAATGGTGGTCTTTGTTTTGCGCTACGGGGTCTAGAATTGCTAAAAATTGAGTTTGAAAATTTGACGTCATCAATTTTGAACAGTTTTTTCGCTATACCTTCGCCAAAAAAGAGGTATCAATCTCAAATTTGGTATGTGGATGGAAGGCGGTAAGGACTATCACATATATTCCGGTTTTTGCGAAATTCAAAAAACTTTTTGGATTTTTCGATTATTGAATTCAATTTTTTTTTTGATTTTTAGGGGTCAAAATAAAAAAAATAAAAAATCCGAGATAGCAGTTTTGTAGCCCTGTCCATTCTACAGCTTTTATGTCTTTATCATTTTTCTGTATTTGCAAAGCTATAGGCCTGACAGCTCTTCCCGCGAAACCCTTTTTTGGGTCGAAATCGGCAGAACATGACGTCACTCTGACGTCATTTCCGGCCAACCTATCATAGCCTTTGGAAAAATGTTTGGTCACAATGTGTAAAATTGATGTCCGGGAGGGTACTGAAAGTTTGGTGACGATCGGCGCAGCGGTTCTGGAGATATATTGAAAAGTCTGGAGGGGGGGGGGGGCAAAAAATAGCCCCCCCCACCAGGTCGCGGGTTAAGGTCTTTCATATCTCGTAACGATAACAGTGGGACAGAGCGCCCATGAACTGCCAGTCATCTGCAGCTCGGTTATCAACGCCGCGCCACAGCTGGTCACTTACCGTCGTCAGAGAAGACTGGTTTTTCCTCGTCGTTATCGGCGTCGTAGTAGTAGTCGTCGCCGAACATCTCGCCCATTTTCCGGTCGTGCGCGTCCGGGTCGAAATCGGCGTCCAAGTCAGCCACCTGGCGGACAGGAGGGGTAGCGTAGAGCAGCGGTCAGCGAGGGAAGTGTGTCGTAGAAGGGCCAGCTAAAACAGAGTGTCGCTCTAAATCTGACTTTTCTCAGAGGCGCGGATGATTAAAGGATCACTATAATCTTCGGGGCTAGCTGGTCCTATTTGTTGAGGAATAAATTGAATTGTTCCTAGACGAGTCGACGACAGCTTGCCAGTAGATCACTGATCATCCCAGAAACAGGCCAACAGTTCATCGCTATGGTCATTAACAGTGAGCTTTTCTTTCTAGCCATATGCCCTCCTAACCCTATAATAAGGTTGTCTATTATATCGTAAGATCGTAAAGCGTACCTCAAACGGCAAATCAGTATTGCCAACAGCCTCCTTGAGTGTTTCTAGTTTCTCCATAATTTCTTTCCTCTTCAACGTCTTCAGACGTTTGAGTTCTTCTTCCTTCTTTTTCTTTTCCTCTTCTTGTCTCTTCCTTTTCTCCTCTCTGTTCAATTTTCGTCGTTCATCCTTTTTCCTCAACGAATTCTTGATTGTTCTCGGATACCTTTTGATCTGAAATCACACAGAAATATGATCAGACTCTTAGCCAAGCACCACGCACAATCACCGCTCAATGTTCGAGCGATAATGAAAGTTCGTCCGAAGCGAGGCTAGAATGTGGAACAGCATTCAGCACAAGGAACACTTACATGCTTCCTTATTTCCAGTATCACCAAAGATGACGTCCAAGCTGGAAACGTTAAAAAACATCCTCGAAAAAAATCGAACATCTCAAAATCAAATAGTAGGAGCAAATTGGAAGCCGAGATGACCATCTCATTGCAATCAATGAATCAAGACAACATTTTACTTACGAATTCCTGATCTGGCTCCTCGAAGCGGAAGTTGAACTTGTGTTCGAACGCCTCCTGTTTTCCGACGGTGCGCTCGTCCTCTGAGAGATCTCCCTCCGAGTCGTGTACCACCTCCTCGTAGCTGGGCACGTACGAGTCATCCCCCTCCTCTAGGTACCTGCGGCAGATCCACGGAGCTAGTTCACATCTCACTCACACATACGGGCACCCGGGGTGTCATGGACCGTGTTTGCACACAACCATTTCACTAGCAAACACAGCACCGGCTGATAGCCTGGGAAGGCCCTTCGATTTATGAAAATATTATCCACTTACCGCTTACTCAGGATGTAGTCACGCAAGAACGCTTCATCTTTGGAAATTTTCGGGTTGGACCAGGCATCTTTCAGTCCCTTGAGGCGGCCTTCGACCGCCTTGTCTCCGGCAGTCTCCTTTTGTCCTTTCAGCCAGATCTTGTACTGCTCATCTTCGTGTTCCTGCGCGCATCAAGCGAAAATCGAATGGTCATTGTACCTTTGTACCTCTGTCAAATTTTGAACGGAGTATTTCACAAAATGACACTGCATAGAATCTATGTTTTCCGTTTCACACAACTCAAGACTTTCACGACCAGCATGATTTTGGCCTTAAGTGACTGTAGTCCAACAAGATGGCTTTTCCTTTTGTCCAGGGTCCCGTCCCACCTGTTCAGCGGCCGTCTTCTCCCTCTTCTTGAGCAGACTGCCGGAGAAGGGGTCGCCGCCTTCCTCGGCGTCCGAGTCGCTGTCCACCAGGGCGCGGAACCCGGCGCGCAGCTCCTCCTGCTCCTCGGCGTACGAGGGCTGCTGAGGGGGCCCGGCTGCGGAGCCTGAGCGCGGAGTTACAGGGTCAGAGGACGACGAACAGACGTCACCGGTTGGAGGACAGGCACACAGCGTCACCGGCCACACACGCACGGTTCCGTGCGTCACTGCAGGGCGCACAGAGTCATACAGTGTCACAGAACGGACACGTGGCAGGGCACCAGTGAAAAACAACACAGGGTCACAGGGTAACGGAATGAACGAGCTAAGTTTTCAGAAACGTGTACACTGTACAGTCTAGCAGAGCATGATGTCCTGGAATTACCATAAACGTGCAATACCCGGCGCGAGACGTTCGGCACACTCATCTGAGGTGGCGCTAAATGATACACAACTCCACACATTTATTGTGTATACAAGCACAATAAAGGTGGACAATTGTCTCTAAAAGCGAAGGCATTACTGTTGATTGGAATATCAGTGGAAGAGAAATCATGGTGGCCACTGCTGTTGTCTATGTCAGCACCCAAAGGAAATGACAGAAAAGCCTCTCTGGGCGATCTATCTGTTTGGTTTTCCTGTTTGAACTTTGACTGCATTCCACTTACCATTTTCAGTTTGTACTTCTCCACTGTTCAACAACATTTCTCTTTCATAGTCTCTGAGAAACATTGGCTTTTCTTTGCGCTTCTTTTTGCTTGTTGATGCACCATTTTCTTCATTCTTCTCATTGAAAAACCTTTTGCCAGGGTCATAGATTTCTGGATCATTTTGTTTCAGTTTTGAAAGTGTTTCAAAGAACTGCTTTTCCATGTTTGGGGTAAGTTCCTGAAAAAATGAGGCCATTCTGTTAGATAGGGAATTCTGAAAACGTCCATGATCCTGCTATGCATGTCAACCCAAATACAAAAAAAAAAAAATCAGCGAACAAACTATACTGGCAACACAAAAAGCAGCATGAAAATACACATGCTTACCAAATTATCAGTTAAATTACCAATTACCATGCAATTGTAAAGCTCAACAATATGAATAAAATCAAAGTGCTGCAAAACTTATTGTCATGAATTTTGACAGAAAATAAGCTACAAAATATTGGGACATCATCTTCGCTCTAACACTTGGTCCCACCATCAACAACTCCAGCATGTGCATAATATACCACTGATTGTGAGCTGGTGGCACTCACTGAATAATAATAAAGGGTGAAAAATGCATGTGCATAATAGAAAATGTGCACTAGTCATAGGTCACGGTTCGTCGGAAGGTCATCTCAGGCTCAAAAGAAACGGTATATACCATTCGAAAGCTGACGGAGAGCTGAATCCAAAAATGTAATTTTTATCAAAATCGATCGATGGCCTTTTTTGAAAATTGCGTTTTTGTAAAAATTTAATAACCTTTTATTCAACGGGCTGTCCCGGACATTCTTGAAAACATAAACATGTATTATTGAGTTCCAGTGAAAGCTGAACGCCAAAAGAACAATATTTAGCGAAGCAATATTTCCAAACATTAATATGCGTCTCCCACAGCCGAAAATAAGGCGCAATCACACATCTCAGTGTCACGATGGACCAAAGTCAGCCACACAGAAGCGTGAAATGACCCTTATCGACTCGCAGACCCGGCGCTCTCGGCCCGCCTGACCGGCCACGGAAAGAACGTTCGGCTCTCGTTCTACTAAACAAATGTCATATTTGTCACTTTAACTGTCCACATCGCTATTAAAGTTATTCAGGATACCTGGGAAGAAAATTCATTCTTCTGCTTGATTTACAACATGCTTTAATTTACATTTTTCTTATACATGTTTTGTTCCATCCAGCTGCGATCAGTGCCCGCACAGGGGAAGTGAGCGGGGTTTCACTGTCAGAGGCTGTACTGGTGACAGCTGCTCGGCCGTGCGACCGGTCAAAGGTTACCCTGCCCCGCCGGGCGCTACCCCCACTCCACCCGAGCTGAGGCCGGTGCAACCTCTGACATTTCAGCGCGGCCAATTTTCCTTATATGGGCATGATACCAAGCTCAATTGAGCAAAGTAGACATGAACAAATGCAAATTAATGCATGATGTGAAGATGGCAGAACAATGAATTTTCTTCACAGGTATCCTGAATAACTTTAACAGCGATGTGGACAGTTAAACTGACAAATTTGACATTTGTTTAGTAGAGCGAGAGCCGAACGTTCTTTCCGTGGCCGGTCAGGCGGGCCGAGAGCGCCGGGTCTGCGAGTCGATAAGGGTCATTTCACGCTTCTGTGTGGCTGACTTTGGTCCATCGTGACACTGAGTTGTGTGATTGCGCCTTATTGTCGGCTGTGGGAGACGCATATTAATGTTTGGAAATATTGCTTCGCTAAATATTGTTCTTTTGGCATACAGCTTTCACTGGAACTCAAAAATACATGTTTATGTTTTCAAGAATGTTCGGGACAGCCCGTTGAATAAAAGATTATTAAGTTTTTACAAAAACGCAATTTTCAAAAAAGGCCATCGATCGATTTTGATAAAAATTACATTTTTGGATTCAGCTCACCGTCAGCTTTCGAATGGTATATATCGTTTCTTTTGAGCCTGAGATGACCTTCCGACGAACCGTGAGGTACCACACAATATCCTATTATGCAGTAACTCAATTCTCATAAAATGATAGGCACACACAAAATACATGCATACCTCAGCTTCCTCGTCTTCTGATGATGATGAGGTCTCATCAGCTCCTTTGGCTGCATCCAGCGAGACATCTTTGCCATACTTTGCTTGCACTGAAAAACAAGGTATGCCTTAGGTTAAAACGTCACAAATAGTAGGTCATACATTCACATATTAAATGCATTTTAACACAAAAGTTTTAGATTTCAACTTCCTATTGTAAAGCACCTACAGTGGGCACTCACATCCATTACCTATGCCCATTAGGGGTAGTAGTTAAGCAAGTGTCACACTTGTTTTTTGCAAAAAAAAAACTGTTTTTGGCACTTGATGTTAGGTTGTAGGTTGTAGGTTTTAGGTAGTGGTTGTAGCTTTTATGTTGTAGGTAACCTAAAGTCAGATTTGGTTAGCTTTGGTTTGGTTTGCTTAGAAAGCATCTCTTGGTATAGTACCTCTCCTTGGTTGCAAAAACAAGTGAGCTGCCTTCATTGTGACTACCCTGACCCCAATTAGGTACCTGTGAACAGCTTGTAGGTACTAGATTTGAAGCTAGGTACGGCCCTCCAGGTATTTAGTGGTTGGTTGCCAACTTCACAATAAACGATCTGCATTGATGAATACGTCTAATGGCTGTTGAAAACCATTGCTGAAGTGTGTGCACGAACCCTCTTCTCATTTCTATTTAGTCATTTTACAGGAGCGTCTCTGTCATTCAAAGTTATTACACCAAAAGCACATAGGCTAACCAACCACTCTTTTGCTGGAGGGCCGTACATAGGTAGTTTGTAGTTATAATGAAACATAAATCAATATAATTTCCTTTAATTGAGCTGCCTGCTTACATAACACCTTTGACGTATTTTACAAAATGGTAATGCCTGTATGGAATCAGTAAGCCTTCAGTTTGAATGAAGATCAAGATGGAAAAAAATTATATGGACTAAGGCGATTATCGGACACTGGCATATAATCATTAAAAAGATGTGAAAATGTGTATTGCGACTTACCCTTAAATTGAAGCTCTATTCATTTCAGGAACACTTTTTTCTGAATTTAATCGAAGATTCAATATTTAATATAAAATAGCTGTCGCTACAGGTGCTGTCGACGATACTGACGCGGACCTAACGCATCTATATCAATCATGAACGAGACACTGAAAAGAATTTACTCACGCTTCTGGTATTCTTCTTTTTCTCTCCAGCTGTTGTATTTCTCAGCGTATTTGCTACTGACAGAAAACTCCGCTTCAGATTCAGAAGACCCATCATCGAACAATGCCTGCGCCATTTTTGAGTTCCAAACGCACGTTGTCCCAAATATTTCAAGGATTCCAAATTAAGTTTCAGATTCAGAGGACAGTGTGTTTCGTGCTGGTCTTATGACGTCACAATAATTGCATGCATGTGGCTTATATACCTTGCATGTGACATGGAAAGGTGAAAACTGAAAATCATGTGAAAATGCATTGGAAATTGGATTGGGATTGCATCCAAGATTATAGGTATAAGCTAGTGATGTCAATTACGGAAAATCGGAATACCGATACCAAACCAAATACCAACCAAACCCGTGGAGAAATAGGTAGGTACCGAAACCAAACCAACTTGGGAACATGAGGAAAATACCAACTTTTTACCTATTTCTTAGCCTCTTAACCCGCGCCCTGATGGGGTGGGGCCATTTTGGCCCCTCCCTGTGGTTTTTCTTAAATAGCGAGAAAACAGCGGCGCGCAGCGCCGCCAAATTTTGGGTACCTTACGGGGCATCAATTTGATACCTTCACACAAAATTTCAAGTCACAGGTCACCTCAGGTCAGGAGTTATTGAGGTCAAACCATAAGTGTAACTTTATATCTCTTTGTGGGTGCTCAAGCACCCCCAATCGTGAGCTCAGCACCCCCTGCCTCCTTAAAGCACCCCCAGCCTCTTCAAAACATTCCCAGCTGACTCAAGGCCCTCAATAATCAGTATGTCCATCTCCTAGTTACGAGCGAGCGAGCGCAGCGAGCGAGCGAGTTCATACTGAAATAAGGAAAAATCCTGAGTATGAGCGGCCGGCCGTGGGGACGCTCTTCAAAAGCTAATATCTTAGGAACGGGACATCCGATTGACAAGCGGTCTTCTTTACTGAATGTCACTTGGACGTAAAAGTTCTGTGGTGTGATGGCCACCATGCGTTCTTGCCAACCACCGCACGTGGCGCGTGGTAAAGTTGGACATTTTTTAAGAACCCCCAAAATTGCAACCTCAATAACGGCACAACGGTTGGGCCGATTGAATTGAAACTCGGTACACAGTTAGGTCTCCATCAGATAATTCATCTACATGTGTTAAGGTTGGGGTGCTACAGCACGTGCGCACGTGCAGGGGGCGCTCCCAGATCTCGAGAACGGCTGGGCCGATTGCGCTCAAATTTGGTACACGGTTGGGGACCAGTTAGTAGGGTGCCGTGCAAAAGTCAGTTTGGACCCCGCTTGCACGTGCGCACGTGCAGAATGCCGCTTCCAGATCTCAGGAACGGCTGGGCCGATTGCGTTCAAATTTGGCACACCGCTAGCGACCGGTTAGAAGGGTGCTTTGCACAAGCCCGTTGGAAGTACCCTCTCGCCCTTGCGCACGTGCAGGGCTCACTATCTCGCTCGCTCGTTCTTCGCCCAAAAGGCGTTTTACTGGTACTGTAATGAGCTCAGTGAATCATGCAAATACTATGCTTACTCAATTCAGTGACTAAGAGAATATACATTGAAGAAATTACCACAAATTAAGATGCATGATATTTGTGTTTACATTACATCTGATATTATGGTGCTTGGGACAAAGTAAGATCTCCAATCTAACATATGTAAATGAGGGTTGGCAAACAATTTCAATGGCTGTAAAATTTATCGACATTCACAGCACCATACTTAGTTCCTCTGTTTGGGTAAAAGCATAGAAGCAGCCGCCAGCCTAACAATATCCAATTTTCTGTAATATTCTAAAAGTTCAGTACAACCTGAGTCAATGAATCACGTGGGACATGATGACAGAGAGATCCCATAGGTGTCCACTGTCCAGTGTTCGGGAGTACTGGAAAGCCTCACGCCGCGGAAGGACGTGGAAGGGTGGTAAAAGTCCACCGACGGACCTTGTGCCAAAAATTGATTGCACAACCGAGGAATATGCACAGAAAGACAGTTCTTTACGGTGTACGTACACTCACCCGAAGAGCCATGAAACAAGCCCGTGCGGCGGTTACGCCTCCCAGGCACATTAACCCTCGCCGGCACAGGCCAATTTGCGTCCTTCGACGGCACAAGGGAGGGGGGGGGGGTTGGTACGACCCCCCTCGCGTTTGGCCCCTGATCGAGCTAGAGCTTCGAGGAAAAAACGAGCGTGTTGCCCGTCACGAGAGGAAGCCGATGATATCCCATTTTAAGGTCCTAGGTCATCGGTTGACCTTCCAGGTCAGGTCAATGACCCAAAAGTCGGGAAAATCGGGACCTGTTAGAAAGTCGTAAAATGTGGCTGCTGTGGGGTGTTCCGGGGTGCTGATCACGAATACCGTGTTAGTTTTGATCACAGATGATGTCTTTGGGCATTTAGACCAGGTCGGGTCAGGTCAGGTCAAGTCAACCGGTAGGGGTCGTGACGGGTATTCGTAGTACGTGTCAACCGCCTCTGACAGCTTCGTAACGGAGTTCTATAGCCTTGTTCGTAATATGCTACGAAGGCACCAAAACTACTTCGTAAATGTTGAAATGGTTGATAAATTCGAGTTCAGCTAAAAAAAAAACTAGCCTAGAAACGTGTATTACTAGAAAAAGTGAAACGAGGTCACCAAAGGTCAATGACCTGACCTGACCATCAGGTGACCTTGAAATCCACTCTAATGCATGGGAGCAACATCAGATCACATGTTTGAACGTTTGAAACCACGAAAAGCTCGCAAACGCGCGGCTAGTGCAAGCCGACATACGCCGAATCGCGATTCCGGCCAAACATGGTCTCGGGAAGTAGGTCACAGGTCAAAGGTAATTTGGGTCAGGGTCATGAAATTTCAATGGTTGGTGTAAAATTGAATAATGCGAGGGTACTAAAATTTTCGTCGCGATCGGCCGCTTTTTACGCGAGTTATTCGCGAAAAACCGAGGGGGAAGGTTGCATCAACCCCCCCCCCCCCTGTGCCGGCGAGGGTTAAGGACAAACATCGATACCAGGTAAGCACAGTCGGTACGGTGGTGAAGGAGTTGGTACAAGAACATGACATCGGTATGAATGAGGTGGGCTTTGATGGACTCAGTTTTAAAGGTTTGCAGTAGACTACGATAGTCCATAGGACAGTTCCTCTGCGTTTTAGCCCCTAGCCACATGAGAAAGCAGTGCTGTAGCCGCTCCAGCCGTACCAGGTGGGACTGGGCTGCACCCTAAGGTTTTTCGCGAATAACTCGCGTAAAAAGCGGCCGATCGCGACGAAACTTTCAGTACCCTCGCATTGATCACTTTTACACCTACTCTAAAAATTTCATGACCCTGACCCAAATGACCTTTGACCTGTGACCTACTTTCCGAGACCATGTTTGGCCGGAATCGCGATTCGGCGTATGTCGGCTTGCTTTAGCCGCGCTTTTGCAAGCTTTTCGTGGTTTCAAACGTTCAAACATGTGATTTGATGTTGCTCCCATGCATTAGGGTGGATGTCAAGGTCACCTGAAGATCAGGTCAGGTCATTGACCTTTGGTGACCTTGGTTCACCTTTTCGAGTTTTACATGTTTCTAGGCTAGTTTTTTTAGCTGAATTCGAATTTAGCAAACATTTGAACATTTACGAAGTAGTCTTGGTGCCTTCGTAACATGTTACGAAGCTGTCAGAGGCGGTTGACACGCACTACAAATACCCGTCATGGCCCCTACCGGTTGACCTGGCCTGACCTGACCCGACCTGGTCTAAATGCTTAAAAACATCATCTGTGATCAAAACTAACACGATGTTCGTGATCAGCACCCCGGAAACCCCGTAGCAGCCACACTTTACGACTTTCTAACAGGTCCCGATTTTCCCGACTTTTGGGTCATTGACCTGACCTGGAAGGTCAACCGATGACCTAGGACCTTAAAATTGGGTATCATCGACTTTCTCTCGTGACGGGCAACATGCTCGTCTTTTTCGGGAAGCTCTAGCTCGATCAGAGGCCAAACGCGAGGGGGTCTTACCAACCCCCCCCCCCTCCCTTGTGCCATCGAAGGACGCAAAATGGCCTGTGCCGGCGAGGGTTAAAGGTAGTGTGCCAGCTTTCTTGGACCATATTGAGTTAATGACCCGGATAAGGAGAACCGGATTTTTAGAACTTATCCATACCTTCAAAACTCATGGAAACGTCTTAAATTCTTCAAATTTTGAGTACCCCAGTGCGAAATTCGCCCCGACGGGTTGTCGGTCGTACCCCAACCACATTTCACACCACTATGAACAATAAATGCACACACTAAAATCGCTATTACCGATAGGCTCATCCAATCAAGTTTCGATAAACCCGTTCATCATCATCTCCTGCAGTTTCGAACACGCCTGTTAGGTGGCTTCTGATGCTCGTCGAGGTCGGAATTTCCAAATACGCGTGGTGCGTCGGGCCGCGCGCTCTGACTTCGGCCAAGAAAAATGCGTCAGCTGATCATTGTCATTTCTGCCACTTGCGTGTGGTGAAATGGGGTCATAACTTAAGAGACGGCTGTTTCATATCAATTATTTTACATAAAATCATATTTCAAACCATAAATTAATGTTCGACAGCCAAATTAAAGAAACAATACCAATACAGGCTTACAGTTTAAGTTCGACATTGCGTTGTCTACGATTAGCCAGCTGAAAACTCATTCCCGTACGTTGTAACTCTATAATGACCTTTGCTTATTGTCACATGTGCGCCGCATTCGCGATTGTTGCCGACGCCTGTTTGCAGGTCAGCCCACTACAGTTGTTATACATATCGAAAAACCGATAAACTTTTTGGCAAAAAAGGCCCATTCCAGGCCCATTTTTGATTTTTTTTGCGATATTAGGTAAAAACAGAAGCTTCTTATCCTAGGAAAAATAAAACGGGAAATCATTGGAAGGTGGCACACTACCTTTAAAGTTCAGGGACAAAATGCAATTATTCACCAGAACCATGTCCGGAGAGTAACCATCGAGCCTGTCCCGTCAGGCGTCATGTTGGGTAGCCCTCAATATAAGCTCATTCGTGCAGAGCTATGCAGACCAGGCTGCCTAAGCGCGGACCTACCAAAAGTCCGATAGGGCCTGAATTTAAATTTTAAACCCAGCGTGTTCTGAAATATGCTCAAAAACTTCC